CGTGGGTGCAGAACCATCGGTTCGGATTCAGTGATCTTAATGGTCAAATGCCTAGAATGATCTTAGCTAATTAAAGTTGAAAAAATAGGAGAGGGCGTTAATTTACATTACATGAATTTCATCGTCTTCTGCTCTGCTCAGTAATTGTTGAAATAGAGTATAATAGAGAGTGACTTTAAAGAGGTTGTATGTAATGAATGTTTCCAATTATGGGAGGTACTTTAGCCAACACGCCTCCATTCCCACAACTATGCGTAACGAATTCCCTTTCATTCCCTGTATTTTGCATACTGGGAAGAAGAGGATATGAGGAATGTGGTGAAGCAATTAAGGAAAATTAAATCGAGATAGAGAGGAAGGTGTGATCGGTAGTTGTGGGTTCAAGTAATGTGCGCAATCGAGCGATTTTTAATGCGCAGGTTGCGTATATGAACCAATACTCCACGTATGGATCGTCAAATAATGATACGAGACCTGTCTTTATTTCACCAGTCATCATTGGCAAAGATCTTTATCATTTCAATTGGACTACAGGAATGGGTTCACCTAGATTCTCAAGTTAATTTTCATCGACATTTAAAATATTCTCTTATTTCTACCAACTTCGTTATTAACTAGAAAGTGTGCCCTCAAAGCCTATGCTTGCATTTCACCAATGGACTGTGAGCTATACAAATGGAATTAAGTATTTGCCAGTTGATTGACAGAATAAGTTAAAAATTTTTGTCAGAATTTGAGGTGAGGTATAGAGAAATGCCTGTACTTACGCAGTGAAATGAAGTTTAAAAGACTTCTACATCAAATATAACATGAAATCTATGTTAAAAGTTTAACCCATTAGACTTCAGAATCCTATCATCTAACTTGATCAGTGTGCATACTCTCAGTTACGATCGATTAATTCATGATTTATCATTCTGCTTGTCTCTTGGAAATTTTAAGCAGAAATAAACAGACTTATATTAGTTATTTGCTCACAGTGCATCATCACAGCTAATGGTACGATGAGCTGAATACAGTTTGTTTCAAAGTTAAAAAGACCTTTATGCTAAATTTATGTTACTATTAAATGTATAATACGTACTTGTAGCACATCAGCTGTTAGAGTGAGTATTAACAAATTACGATAAATTGGCGAATTTTAATAAAATCGCGTTTCATGAAAATGTATTGTTCGATTGAATATTTTACAGTTTAGAGAAGCGTTGAAGTAAATTAGAGGAGAACACTTGTTCCCACGCAGTGAAATGGAGTTCATTAGACTAATACATGCAATCGATTAGTAAATTTTCACCCATTGACCTTCAGAATTGTATCATCTAATTTGGCAAGTGTGCTTACTCTCAGTTCTGATTGGCTAATTTAAAGCAGTGTTATTCAGCACAATAAAGTAAAGGTGAGCGACCAGAAAATTCCATTAACGTGTTAAAGTTCAATACCATATCGATGTGCTTATCATAGAGTGAATAATACGCTCATTACACGCATTGTGGGGGAGATTAATTAATAATGCTCATTTGGGTATATGAAATATCTTTTGTCTTTCACCATGCATTATTTCATGTCAACCATACTCAATAATATTAACACTCCACTATTTTTGCATAGACTTAGATGTCAACAGAGAATTTTTCATCACTGAATAGTTAAAGTCGGAATAGCTAAGATGGTAGGCAATAATGAGCATACCTCGGAATAAAGTGGTAAATGGTTGTCAGATGTCTCAGTCACAAAGAAGGTTCGATTGCCGAATGCCTCATATCCCAATCTGATATAGGAGTCTGAATGCATTGTGTTATGGTGATGAGGAAAGCACTGTCCACTCTGCTAGTACTACAGAAAGCCAACCAATTAATGGCCAATCTTTTGGATGCATTTGTAACTCAGTCCAGGGAAGTGCGAATTGGGCTTGCACCAAATTTTCTCTCTGAGGTAAGGTGTGCACGGAGACTGACATTGACATGAATGACGTTTACTTGGAGCAGACGCCTTTGTTGATTGTTCAATTTGAGCTTCTTTTCAATTTCTCTCCAAAATAATTAATTCATGTCAACTTCTGGCTTTTTTCTAATTGCATTAATGAAATCTACAAAGATTCGTTTGTCAATTTAATCTTTCTATATATGACCTTAATTTAATGGTTTTCCTTACCTTAAACTGTGCCTACTCAACACAATTTAACAATATCGATTTTAACTGACAGACGTATTCATAAAAATGATCACAATTGGAAATTCAATTTCAAATTAAAGATCAACAAATAATATCAAATGACGCATTTTATGGCAGTTATCTTTGGACCTTTATTTGACTTCGAGCTCCACAGAGGGATAGAATATCAAGGGTTTAAATAGGGTGAGCGTGGGGGGGACGGTAGAGTTTTAGCATATGTAAAGAGAGATTGGCAGAAAGGTAGAGAAAAAGCAAGATAAGGTGTGTACTGTGAAAGTGGTAGAATATAGCGTAGAGTAAGAGTATACAGGGTCCACCACGTAAATGAAGTCAATCGCAATCCCCACCTCAGAATATTAATCGTAATATTTATTTATTCTTAGAAATTTCATTGTGCCGAAATAAATATGGCATGGACTGAAAATACGAACTAACAGTTCGAGAAGACGAACAGAATGGCTATTCTTGAAACTGTCACTAGTGAATGAGAACCGAATTTGATTGAGTTATTCCATAGGTCAATGAATTAAATTTTAACCCAGAATTGCATGCAACACATGATGTGTAAGTCTTATAAGCGCATTTTAATACGTGAGCATGGGATTTCCTCTCTATCTTACCTCAAAATTGCACTTATTTGCAACGACATCAATCAATTAAATGCTTAAAACTAAAGAACGCTAAAAAAGCTCATATTCAAATGGGGAACTTTCAGAATTGCATTGAGGGTAGGATTTCTAATCAAGAGGAAAGTAGTAAAATGGAACAAGATTTATACAATGCTGCTGAACGTTGATTTAGGGATTTTGTGTATTTTGTGGGATTAATGTTGATGCGGTTTTCACAGTCAGATTTGACTGATAAACCAGCTTTCTTAAAAATTTCTTATGAAGCAATCACTCGACTTCTACCATTATTTTGGAAATTACAAGCACGCTGCATTGATTCCTATGCATATCCTTTGCTAACACCTTCGGACATTTTCAACCATAAAATTGCAAACTTACCGCAAACTCCACCTTCCTATGAATCCTTGTTTTACTTCTTAGACTCACTGCGCACCACGCCCTCAATGAAATGTAATTGAAAACTTTGATTATATTCAATCTCTTTAAAGTCACTCTCTCTTAAACTCTATTTCATTAATTACTGACAAGTGTAAAAGTCGAAGAAATCCATATAATGTAGGTCAACGACCTCTCCTATTTTTCAACTTTAATTGGCCAAGATCCTTCTAGGCATTTGGTCATTACGGTCACTGAATACGAACCGATGCTTCTACACACGAGTCCACAACAACAATTTGTGCATACAAAACATACTGTTCAATTAGGTTTTGGATATGTTAAAAGATTTTATTCACCAACAATTGATTTTGGTGCTAAAATTTCCTCAAGCACACTCGTGATTTACGAAAAAGCCCACATATGAGGTCAAATTTATCAGCGTCTGGGTTCATTCACCATGCTTTACTTGACCGATTTTACATGCGAGATAT